CCTGCTTTGATTACTTTAACTCAGGAAATGTAGCCACCATTTTGGGTGTGTCTCTGGTCACGGTAGTATCAGACGTTAGTACCCTGAAGCTGTCTGTTAGGAAGCCATTTTAAAGAAAGATATTTTCTTAGTGTTTAGTGGATCCAGTTTGGATACTGGTTTGGGGGAATGTTGTAGATGAGCTTGGAGGGAAACATGGGTGCCCTGTGCTTCCTCCATCAGATTGATGGTTCCACCCTGCGAACGCTGTGTCTGCAGCACGGGCCTCTCATCACATTCCACCTGAACCTGACCCAAGGCAACGCCGTAGTCCGCTACAGCTCCAAGGAGGAAGCCGCCAAGGCCCAGAAATCTCTGCACATGTATGTTTCTCCTCAGCGCCCCCTACAGCCAAATAGCATCAATGTCCCAGAGCTGTACTAGTGCTTTGGGGCTGCCCGTGCAGTGCTCCAGGACTATGTCTTAAATAAATGGCAAAAATTGGGCTCGTTTGGTTTGGCGTGGCGTGACTTGGTTTGATTTTTGAGACAGGGTCTCATTTTGTAGTTTAGGCTGGCATTAAACTCACTATGCAGCCCAGGCTAGCATTAGACTCACAGAAATCCTCCTGCCTCAGCCTGTAGAGTGCTGGGATTACAGGCGTGTACCATAATGCCCAACCCAGAAATTGGTCTTCTCACAGTTCTGGAAGCTGGAAGCCTGGGATTAGGGTGTCAGGAAGGTTCATTCCTTCTGAGGCCACTTCCTGGCTTATAGACAGCTGTCCTGTGCTCTGCCTCGACATGGCCGTCCCTCTGAGTGAGTCTACGTCCTGACCCCCTCATACAAGGGTGCCAGTCAAGTTACATTAGGGCCGCCCATGTGACCTCAGTTAACTTCATCGCTTCTCTAAAGACCCTGTCTCCAGGCATGGTCAGTCACACTCAGCAACACTGGGTTAGGGCTTCAGGACGGGTTTAGGGTGGCACCATCCAGGCCAGCACGAGTGTCTCGGTGAGCTGACTGCTGCAGCTGCTAAGTTGCCGTGTCTACGTCCACTATGAGAAAAACCTCCCCAGAGAGCACCTGCCAGGCCAGTGACAGAAAGCAAGCACCCTCTGCCCTGGAAAAGCGCACTCCTCAGCTAGCCCCTCCGCCTCTCTGAAGGGTGCTCCCACAGAGAGTACGCCTAGAGTGACCTGAGGAGTGGGGCCTAGAAATGAGTCCTTCCTAATTCAGTGAGCTGACTGGCCCGCGTGTGGCGGGGGGGGTTCTGCTTCCATCTGTACACCCATGCTGAGGCGGGGCCAGACAGGGTGGCACACCTGCAATCCCAGCACTCAGGAGGCTGAGGCAGGAGGGTCGTCACAAATTCGAGGCCAGTCTGCACTACATAGTAAGTTCAAGTCCAGCCTGAACTGCATAGTGAAACCCTGTCTCAGAAAAGTGTGGAGAATATTCATAATCTGGGTTGGGTCTAGGTGGCCTGCGGCTGGAAGTCCTTGGGTTGCGCCTTTCCCAGTGGCTCAGCCTCAGGACTCAGTGACTTCTTGCTTTGCAGGTGTGTGCTGGGAAACACTACCATCTTGGCCGAGTTTGCAGGTGAAGAAGAAGTGAACCGGTTCCTGGCCCAAGGCCAAGCCCTGCCACCCACTTCCAGCTGGCAGTCGAGCAGCGGGAGCAGCCAACCACGGCTGGGTACCTCAGGCAGCACCCATGGCCTGGTGCGAAGCGATGCCACCCACTGGGGTGCCCCATGCCTGGGTAGCAAGGGGAGCAGCGAGCTGCTCTGGGGTGGGGGACCCCAGTACTCGAGCAGCCTGTGGGGCCCACCCAGCACCGACGATGGCAGGCTGATCGGCAGCCCCACCCCGCTGAACACACTGCTGCCAGGGGACCTGCTCAGCGGGGAGTCCATCTAGGGCCACAGGCACCCCTCGGGCGAGGAGGAGCACCGGCCTTCGTTCCGTTCCGAGGCCCGGCGCAGCCTGCGGCCCTTTTGAGTACCTCTGTCCAGTTTTGAAGACGAACCTTCACTGTGGCCCTTGTGAACTGTTCCCGAAACAGTGCAGGCTGCATTTGGTCAGTGTCACATGCTAACGACAGGATGTTCCTCACAGCTTTTTATTTTGTGTTGTCTTACATTTGTATGGTGTGTTGTCGTTCTGAGTTTTTAAGTATAAAAGCTGCTTAGAATAGTTCTATCATGAAGGGCACTTTTCAGATTGTGGGCTGGAAAGGGTTATTTTATCGCGGGCGAGGGGGGGGGAACGTGAAGCCTATTTAAAGTGAGCCTGTGACGATTATGCACATTACCAGAGGTGGCGGGGCACGGAGCACCGGCAGAGCTGAGCGGGCGCCTCCGCCATCGCTCTGTCCCCCAGAGCCGCCTATGCACATTACCCTTATTTCATTACTTTTTCATGTCATTTTTTAATCCCAAAAAAATATTTTTTAAAAGTAAAAAAAAAAAAAAAAAAAAAAAAAAAAAAAAAGACATATCAAACATGCAAATACTTGAATCCAGCAGGCCAATAATGAAATGTGAACACTTTCTAAGTCTAATTCTACACTTCCAGGTTGACATCAGTACACAGAAACAGGCTCTAGGGAAAATTTCTAAGTTCATAGCCTATGTGTGTGTGCAGCAGTATGCAAGTGTGCGTGTGCGTGTGTGCTCCTGCATGGTGCACGCTTCCTGTGTGTGTGTGAGATTTAACTGTGGGTTTTCCCTTTTACTCAGTATATGCTTTTTTTTTTTTTTTTTTTTTTTTTTTTTTTTTTAGTTTGTTATTATTAGCTTCTAACTTTGCACTGAGGTGTCCCTGCCCTTCCTTTAGCTAATCCTAAACATTAAAGCGAATTCACAGGACAGGGCTGGTGACAATTCATGTGTAAATGTTTACTCAAGGACTCTGTTAATTGCGTTTAAAATTACAGTGTATATCTCTGGAGAAATAATATGTATATCTACCTTTAGCAGCTTTTTATTGTGGACTAATGCAAGAAAATTATTACCAGAGTATTGCACCATTTTTCCATTTGGGATATAAAGTTAAAGAGAAAAAAACTTGCTGAACTGTGGCCATAGATACTTGTAAAGAATGGATGGCTCCGCCAGAGGGCTGGGCGGAAGCAAGCACTTGGACATGGGTTGTGACTGCTTTTGGAGGAGCCTGTTTTGGCTCCCACCTGTTTACAGACCTTTTTTTTCTCCTTTAGACTTTAAAATTAAAAAAAAAAATTTAAAAGGAATTAAAAAAAAAAAAAAAAAGACTTCCGCCGTAAAGAAACCTATTTTCAGAATGCAGTTGCGCTACTTCAGAGCTCTGGGATCGGACAGCACTGTCCCCCTTCGGCCATCGTTGTGGACTCTGTCGATTGTTGTCACCCCTTCGTCACAGTGACGAGGCGTTGTGGTCACTGTCTTGCACATGCCGGATGCGCTCTCAGGAAAGCCAGGGCTCCCGAGGGCAGCTCCACACCATTTCATGTATTTTTAAGCCCAACTCCTAGCACTGAAGATGTTACTAAAAAACAAAACTTAAAAAAAAAAAAAAAAAAAAAAAAAAAAAAAAAAAGATAAAAAAAAAAAAACCAAAGAAGAAAAATACCTAATCTCTAATGTGTAGCAGTTACATATTTACCAAATAATGGACTCAAAAGAAATAGATGTTTGAAGAGTGCTTTATATATTAAAAATTGCTTTATGTTTTAAAATGATCAATGTTTTGTTTTGCAAGGACGAAAGACAATGGAATAACATACCCTCAAGTATGTTTTAAAAATATATATGAACATTGTGCTCCCTGCCTGCTTGATCAGGAAACTTGTGCATTACGTTTTTTTTAATTAGCTTTTTAATGGTTTTATCAAAACAAAAACAAGAAAGAAAGAAAAGTCCTGCAAGATTGCAGATCCACAAAAGCTGGTTTTATAGAGGATCATGAACTATGCACAAACTGGGTTCAAGACGTTTTTCTCAAGTCCGTAGTGTATTTAGCTAACAAACCTTCCTCAGAGTGATCGCATCTCATTGCCATTACGTGCACTGTGTATCTGATTACACGCACCTGAGTCTACATCAGCGGCGTGTGCGTGTGCACGCACCCAGACATACAGCTTGCCATGCTGCCGTTTAGCACTGAGTTGTAGAAAAATTCCTGATGTTTTAAAATTGGGGATAGAAGAATCTGTTGTTTTCACTTTTTGGGTTTTTTTTGTTTGTTTGTTTGTTTTGACCTTTTATTTGAATTTAAGATGTCTCTGAGATTAAAAAACAAATTTGTGGCTCTTAATGTTTTTCTTCATAGAATGTGATTGTTGAAGAACATGCACCGAAAGTTGCTTTTAAAAGTACAACGCTTTGTTGAATCTTAATAAATGGCAATTTTTTTCTTGGCTGTTCAAATTAATGGGTCTTATTTTCAAACATAGCCAGGCATGGTGGTGCACACCAACATGTGATCCCAACACTCTAGAGGCTGAGGCCAGGGGACTCCTGTAAATTCAGGGTCAGCGTGGGCTACGTGAGACCCTGTCTAAAAAAAAAGAGTATCAGTCCTCACTGAAATTGGGAAGTCAGCCTGCTGAAAGCGCCAAACTCCCTGTCTCTAACGATGTCCTCAGTTTACATGTACTTCATCTCAGAGTTTGGGGTTGATAAGACTTCATCATTTGTGGTTTTGCTGTTAACATTTAAGTCTCGCTAATCAAAGCTTCCATGCTTCCTGCTCCCGTTGGCCCATCTGAACCTTATTCTGAGAACCGAGTTGTCTGGGCCAGCGGGAGCAAGTGGGGCCGAGTCTGCTAGGGCGCTCAGGAGGATGCCACTGGCTCTCACCTAGGAGACGCTGTGGACCTTAGAAATAATGGGAAAAGACAGTAATGAAAACCTTTTGTTTCCTAGTTTTTGTTTTGCAGTCCTGGGGGCAGAACCCAGGGCATTCACCCTAAGCTACATCCCTGGCCCTGTTATTTTTGAGTCAAGGTCTCCCTAAGTTGTCCAGGATGGGCTCGAACTGGCAAACTTCGTGCCTCAGCCTCCCAGAATGCTGGGATTACAACTGTGCACCACCACACCTGGATTCCTAGCTAATTTGCCTTTTTATGGAATCACCTCGGCTAACTTCTGCCAAACCTCTTTACACCAGCACAGTGGAACTTCCAGTGCGAGAAGCAGCAGCAAGTGTCTCACTGCAGAACTCTGGGTGGCAATGAGAAACGGGAAGAACACTGCTTTGTCCCCAGGTCTATCCCCAGAACAGGCGCCAGGATCTTGAACGTGTCCCACATCAGGGCTTCCACTTCATTGGTACTCTAGAGCATCTGGGGACAACGGACCTCTTGGACAGGAGCACCCTGTGCAGAAGAGGCCAGCCCCGCGGGCAGGCATCCAGCTGCGGGCTCTCACCCACCTCTCAAAGTGGAGAAGGAATGCGCTGAAGAGGCCATGACACGAGAAGAATGACACTCAGATGGGAACGGCAGGGTGCACTAAGGCACGGAGACGGCCACGACCCTGAGAGCACGACTCGGCTCCATGCAGACTGTTGGCAGGGCTCTAATCTGCGCTTGGAGTGGGCAAGGGTCCAGGGGCACAGACTACACTGGCTCCTCTTCCCTGCAGAACGAGTTCAAAGCGAGAGATGCCAGAGATGAGCAGGCTTCATGAGGTGGTGGCAGCCACCCTGCAAGTCCCGATTGGATTCTGAGTCGGAGCACGGGACAGATGGGGAGCAGAACATAAGCCAAGATCCAGAGTGAGAACCCTGTGTGAAGGCTTCGGAGGACTGGACTCGGGGGCTCCGGCACCCACAGGGGAAAAGGAAGCCTGGTGTCTGGAATCAAGGGAAGGATAGGCTCAGTGACTCTCCTGACTGGCAGCAGCTGTGAAGGGTGCTGATGGCTCACCGTAGGGTGCTCGGCAGTGTCGGCAGGATGTGCAGAGGCGAGGCTGGAAGAAGGGGGGTCAGGCCAGTCCAGCTGTGGACACAAAGAGGGTCAGATAAGCCGAGGGCCTGGCGGCTCTTCACTGGGGAAAAGGAAGTTGGACTCGGTGGACATTCAAGATTCTCTGCCAGAACAGAACCTTTGGATGGACCGAGGAAGTCAGCACAGGACCATGGTGGAAACAGTTCCCAGCTGTGCACATTACTGTTTCCTGGCAGAGTTGCTGCCACGCCCAGAACATGCCTGGCCAGCGAGCCCAGCTCTACACCTGCAGGGAAGCCAGAAGCACATTTCCAGGCACCCTACGTGGGCAGCCTCGGGCTAGAGGGCTGCATTTGTGACTGGTGCTTAGAGCAGAGCTTCCCGTAGGCACCTGTACACCTCACTGTCTCACGGGTGCCCCAGGCACCAGTTTTTAAGCCTCCTCCTGGGTTCCACTGTGAACAGCGGCACAGCAGAGCCTTTGCCATTTAGCCTGAAATGTGTAGCACCGTCAGCTTCCCAGCCACCAGGGCAGCAGCATGCGGTCTCCAGGGCTTGAGTTCATCTCTCTTGGCACTTACAAGTAGTATTCTTTTTTTGTTTTTGCGAAACTTGAAGTGCAGGGGCTGGGTGTGTAGCTCAGTGTCCCAAGTGCTTGCCTAGTGTGCAAAAGGCACTGGGTTCCACCGGCACCATAAAACAGGAACCTCTGCGGGCATAGTGCTGCGAGGTGCTTACAGGAGCTGTGTTGTGTGCAGCAGTGGCCACATGAGGTGAGGGATCAGAGTTGGGTCACAGAGCACGCCCAGAGCCATCCAGAGAGTCCAGGCCCACAGTCCCAGCACCACACGGGCTGGAGGAGACACAGGCCAATCTTCTAGCAAGAGGATCTTGGGGCCACACTCTGAATCCACTGGGAGTCAGCAAGTTTAAAACACACGGGGCTGACTGGACTCAGGAGTGGCTCCAGGGAACCTCAGCTGTTCCTGAGGCCTTGCACTGATAGATGAGGGACCCCCATCATCAGGATCCTCCCCTCCACTGCCCGCTAATGTAGGTGTGAATGAAAGCTCTGCACTGCCCTTCACAGCAACGCCAGATTCCTGGGAGGTGACCTCGCTGGGAGCTACAGCGCGGCCCATCTTCCTAGGAGGGTTCTGCGTCTGTCCTGGTCACATGGAGTCGGGGCAGGCGATGGAATCCAAGACTGACAACAGCAGCAGTGACCCTTGGATATCCACCCCCAGGTCATCCACTCACTTTCTGGACTGCCCACCCGGCTTCACCCAGCAGCAGTGGTGCCGGCATCAGCACGAGCGGCCTGCAGAGGTCCCGAGCACCCCTAGCCGGATCAGCCATGCTGGGCCAGGAAAGCCCTCCGCTGCCAACAGGAGACCCGTGAGAGCCGAGCGCACACCCATGAGCACCAGGGCTCATGTCAGCCAATGGCGTCTACCTCTAGGTGTCCCACCCACCCCCCCGGGACTATCCTTGGCCAGGGATGGCATCGGGGAGCACACCCAGCAGGGGACACCTAAGGGGGTGAATGGTGGGACCTACCCCCTCCCTCTCCACTCCTCACTGTGCCCTCTTCCTGCGGCCTCTAGTTCAGCACATCTCACAGGCTCAAGCTCAGCCTGCCAGGCTGGACCCCTGGGCATCTTACCAAGCTCTGCCCACCTCCAGGCCCTCTGCTGGCCAGCATCTCTCAAGCTTCACGTCAACCCGAGTCCTTGACTCCCTGTGCCAGCCAGCTCCTACCCCTCTGGCCTGCCTAGGGGCTCACTCCTGGCCGCGGTTCCCATGGGGGTGAGAGGCACTGTGGGCAAGCCCAGCCTTCCAAAAGATAAGCCCATTTTGCAAAATCCATTTAATTGGAATAAATAAAAGTCCCGGACAGGGCAGGACCCGTGAGGAACCCAAGCCCACTTGCCCACTCTTCCAGCTCCATCTTGACCCGCCTGCAGCCTGCAGAAAGGAAAGCGGTCACTGCACCGTCCTGGTGTCCTTCAGGGCCTCAGCTCCACATCTCTGCTTGCAGGGCCATGGCACCAGGGGGTCCCAGGGGAGCTAGATGGCTCCTTGCTGTCCCATCATTTGTCCCCAGCCGCATCTATGAGCAAGGCAGATGTCACAGCCTCCGCAGATCTACGAGCCCTGCCAGAGAGGGAAGTAGGTGAGGACCCAGCAGTGTCCCTCCAACCGGACAGGCAGCCAGCCCTCCTTACGGACTGTGCCTAGCACCTTTCCTCAGGGGCTGCATTCCAAGTCCCCAACGAGACCGCTGGGCTCCCCAGGCTGAGGAAGACCCTAGAAAGCAGTCGGAAGAGGGCTGGCAGGAGGCTGAAGTGGACCATCCCACACGTCCACCAGATGTTTGAGGAAGGAGCTGCACCATGTGAAACTGCTGCCTTCCTGGGTCTGAAGCAGCGAGACCCCAGCAGGTTCCCACCAGAGCACCCAACGCCAGCATGTGTGCATCTGAGGCTCAAGGTTCACCAGGCTCCTTCTCTATGTGGGGGAAACAGGTCAAGGCCTTGCAGCAGCTGCACGGAGCCCAGAGGGCAGGGGCCACATGACGGACCTATCCGGGCCCCAAGTGTTTGTTCAGTGAGTGACTGAGGATTGTACTCTGAGGCGCCTCCAAACGCAGCCACTTCTGTGCACTGCTGCTGCTGCTGCTGCTGGGAGGAGGGGGAGGAAAAGCAGCAGCAGCAGCAGCAGCAGCAGCTCGGGTGGCCACAGGCGAGGACTTGCCCACGGGCTCGGGCTGGCCTCGGCTGGTTCCCCGG